ATATGTATATGTATATGGATGTATATATATATATATAAAAGGACAAACACATACGCTCAACAACATGGTGTAGACTCATGCAACATGGACGGAAGTTCGAGCATCTGGTACAGCGCTTGATTTTGTATGAAATCAGGTCGCAGCCAAACCAGGGCTTCTTCATGCATCCGGCTACCCTGGATGGCTGCGACCTCAGCACACCCGCCCAGAGTGCAAGTGGGCAGTTTCTGAGTACGTGAGCAACTTGTGGTGAAGGTACAATCCATGTGCTTGGAGCCACTATGGTTGGCTGGGATGCCCCTCTGAAGATCTTCTCCGGCATGGGTCGAGTGCAGGCTGTGACGGTATCGGGCTTGTTGAGACAAAACGCACTTGTCGGAGCTCCAGGCGCACGTCCACCGGAACTTTTCGAGAGATGAGTGCCGAAGCTGCGCTGATTTCTGAACGTCAGCACCGGGGGTGGGGAGGGGTTTGTGAAAAACTAAGAACACTGCGCTGTCCTCAGGCAATACTTCGTGCATTTGGATTTGAAGACGTTTTCCGAGCAGGAACAGGTGCCTCCAGCCCTGCTTCATGTGCCTAAGACGGTGGCAGATGCACTTGTGACTCTTGCGGCGTAGCCTTAACCTTCTTGCATTTTTGGTGGTGCCGAAATCGGCAGGCCTGAGTCTGTTCATCTCTGCAGGTATTTGACTCCACGGTCGCCACAAGCGACGGCGAAGTGCTCTTCAAGGGCACCGACGTAGCCTTCCGCAAGGCTCCTCCTTGCAGGAAACCCCCCCCAAACCCGTGAAGCCACACTGGAGAGTGACCTGGGATCCGAACTATAAGCGTCCAGGTCACACCAGAACAGATCAAGAAAGCCATGGAAAGCCAGATGGCGGAGGATGACCAGAAGATCTATGAGGCTTCCAGCTGCCATCACAAGATTTTTCGAGACAATCCCTGCAACTCAGTATCCTTTCCTGCTTTAGGTGCAGTGGTCGGAGTTGAAGCCGTCGAAGTCGCAAGAGGAGGACTCTAGCACTAGCCAGAACCCCCAAGCATACCCTGCACCCTGATCCCTGCGGCTTTCAAGTCGGAACCCTGAAACTGGAGCCACAGACCCTGCACCCTAAACCCTAAACTCCTAAACCCTACACCCACTGGAGGAGGAGGAGGAGAGTGAGGGTCGATCCCTGGTCCTGGCAGCAGAGGACTCCAAGGACGGCGAGTCTGTTCCTGAAAAGTACAGATGTTCTCGCTATGCATTTGCATATGTATAATATGTGGCCCATGTGGATAGACGAATGGACGGGTGTGTATGCATGCATGCATGCATGCATGCAGGGATGGTGGAAGAATGGGAGGATCGATCTATGTATGTATGTATGTATGTATGTATGTATGTATGTATCCAGCCACGCATGGCATTTGTCTGTCTGCGCCTTTGCCTAAAAGCTTGCATACAAAGGTAGGTAGACAGGTAGATCGGTAGAGAGATAGCTAGAGTTAGATAGCCAGATTGCGAGACAGTGAGATAGCTAGCTAGCTTTTGGATAGACAGATAGACAGATAGCTTAGACTGGTAGACAGATAGACAGAACAGATAGGTAGATCGGTAGATAGATAGCTCGAGTTCGACCGCCAGATAGCGAGACAGTGAGATAGCTAGCTAGCTTTGGGATAGACAGATAGGCAGATAGCTTAGATAGGCAGACAGATAGACAGAACATGTATTGTCGCATGCATGCCTACTCCACATACATGCACATGTATCTGTGAGCACTTGCACTTATGGTTGTTCTCACATATTTGTCTCTATCTCCCCAGCACATATCTCACATGCAACATCAAGGCAAAGAGGAAGTTCAACCCTGAACCCCGAACCCTAAGCCCTAAATCCTTGCCGGCCCTAGCCCCACACCGCCCGATGCGAGGAGGGCGAAGTCCTCTCGCAGCTACCAGGGGCGGAGCTTTCCGGAATCTCCGACGAGGCTTTGGAGGCACTCGAAGAAGGTGGGAGTTGCTGATTCCTGAAAGGGATAGCCGCACGTAGACTTCGACCTCTGCGTGGCCCGGAGAAGCGCCAGGTGGTCTGTCTGGCCTGACGAGAATTATCAGTACCATCGGCCTCTCAAGCGAAGACGCTGCGAGCGGCTTGGATCATGCTCTCCGCCTCATGAAGGTGCACTGCTTTGTGCGCAGATTTCCGTCGTGGAAAAGCACGCACTTCTTTTGCACGGCCAGGCCTTGGTCAAACTGCCGCCTGGCTCCGATGCTCCCGAGCTGTGGCCTCTTGGCTCCTGCTTGCTACAAGTGTAGCAGCTGTGCTGGCAGAGCCCTTGTTTTGTCTCAGACTTCTTTCGGCCGGACTTAGGTTCCTCACCCGTCGAGCAATTGCTGTGCAGCGCAGTGACATCGATGCCGTTCCCTTCCACGCGGGCATCTGGGGCTTGGCCCGTGCTCTTCGCGCGGAGCGCCCGGACCTGAAGGTGGTTTGCTTGGACGTCGCAGACCTGGATCGGCTCTTCCAGGCTCGCTTCTGCACGGGGTTTTTATTTTTTGTAGCAGTTTAGGGCCACTCCAAAGGGGTGCAAAAATCCAAAGCCTCTGCGAGGGTGTCAGTGCCGGTCTCGTGGCTTCGCGGTCCGGCGCCGAGCCGGAGATCGCGGTGCGCGGAGGAGCCCAAGAGGCTCTGCAGCTTCTGGGCCCGAGGCTCAGCCTCTTTCCTGCTCTGAGGGCTCATCTCAGATCCTTCACCGCAGCCGCCTCAGCTACCTTGATCCTTTTCGCCCCTGGGCCGAGGACCCCGGCTGGTTGATTCCAGCATCCCGGAGCCGGAGGCCCTGAGCTTCGATACCGACAGCTGCCACGGGCTAAGTCTTCGCGAGCCCGCCTGTTGCAGCTTCTCGAAGTTTTTCGAAGTTGCGAGCATACATTCTCCTCCATGAGGGGCTTCCGTTTCACTCTTTTTTTCCTCTGCCTTTCAGGTCACCTCTTCAGTGGTGGCACGGGCGGCCTCGGTCTTCTCTTCGCAGGGTGGCTGGCCGAGCACGGTGTGAAGCACCTGGCCCTGATGTCGCGGTCTGGACGGATCCAAGACGAGTCGTTGCAGAAGCTCTTGGACAAGGCCTCCAAGTCCTCGAACGTGCAGATTTTCAAAGGAGACATTGGTAGTGAGGCAGACGTGGGAGAAGTTCTCGGGCAAGCGAACAAGACCCTGGCAACAGTGAAGGGCATTTGGCATGCTGCTGGGGTTTTGGATGATCATCTCATGGCCGATTTGACAATGGAGCACTTCGAGAAAGTGCTGCTCCCCAAGATTACAGGCACCCTCAACCTACACAACTCCTCCGCGAGCAAAGGCTTAGAGTCAAAGCTGCAGCAGTTTGTCCTTTTCTCCTCCGTTGCGGCCATGATCGGTACTGCCGGACAGGGCAACTACTGTGCCGCAAACGCGTTCCTTTGCCTTGTGTAGCTTTCTGGTTAACAGGGAACTTTGAGAACGACAATCCTCGCAGTATGAGTCCCTGTCGTCTTAAGAAGGATCTTGTAGATCCCGGTTACCAATCATCCAGTCCATCCCCTAGCATCAGCAAGGTTCATGGACTCGTTTGCCAGCTATCGTCTCGCACGCAACCTCCCGGCTGTGTCTGTGCAGTGGGGCCCATGGGCAGAAATCGGCATGGCCGCTCGCGTGGCTTGGACCCATAGCTTCAGGATCAGAAGACTCGAGGGTTTGGGGTGAGTAGACTTGAGTGCTCTGGCAAGGCCCAGCTAGGACTTATCTGTGCATACCTATCATCCTTTTAGCTATCTATGTAAATAGATGAAAAGAATATGTGTGTGTGTACATATATATATATATATGGATGGGTATGTATGTACGTATGCACATATATATATATATGTACATACACACATCGGTAGATAGATAGATAGATAGGTAGATAGACAGACGGCGGCAACATGTGGCAAATCTCGAGCTTCCACCCCAGGCTGGTACCTCCGAAAGTGTCGTGCTTCGTATGGGTTTGGCCGACGGCCTGAAAGCCATGGAGACCATTCTGGGTGCACAGCTTGGTGGCCACCTGAGTGGAGCGGCGGCGGTGGCTGGAGTGGCCCGCATCAAGTGGCGCTCCTTCCTGTCGCAGCTTCCAGAGGTTCCATCCTTCCTGGAGAACTTCCAGCAGTATGCGCCCAAGGATGCCAAGAAGGGCGGCAGCCTGGTGGCCAAGGGCGCAGCACCCTCCAAGGACCTGGTGAGAGCAGGCATTGAGAATGTGCTCAAGGAGGTCTTGGGAGACGACAGCCTCGATGATTTCAGTGCCCCGTTGATGGACATGGGCTTGGATTCACTTGCAGCCGTGGAATTCCGCAACCGTGTCCAAGCCTCCTTTGAAGGTGTGCGGCTGAGCTCCACAGTGATGTTTGACTATCCCACGGTTGCGGATCTCACCGATTTCATCCTGTCCCAGTTTGCGCCGGAAGACGATGCTGCCGCCGTGGGTCTTGGAGATGTTGGTGGTGCTCTGCGGGAGCCCTTGTCCATGATTGGCATCGCAGGCCGATATCCTGGCATGTCGGCTCACAACGATGTTTCCGAATTCTGGGCGTCCCTCTGCAGCGGCCGAGATCCCATTTCGCAGATTCCCATCGAGCGGTTCGATGTCGATGAGTTGTATGAGGAGGACCGGTCTGCGCCGGGGCGCGTGTATGTCCGCGAGGGTGGGTTCATCCCAGGCATCGAGGAGTTTGACGCGGCATTCTTCGGAATTGCAGAGCCTGAGGCTAGATCGATGGATACTCACCAGCGCCTGCAGACAGAGACTGCCTACGAAAGTTTCTACAACGCTGGCTTTACGAAGGAGACCCTCTCAAACGTGGAGTGTGGTGTTTTCATGGGTTGCTGCACCCTCACCGGCATCACAGTTGAGTATGAAGACATCGGGCCATTTACCAACATTGGCTCTGGGCTCTCTGGCATGTCCGGTAGAATTTCGCATGCACTCGGTCTTCGGGGCCCTTGCTTCACTATCGACACCGCCTGCTCAAGTACTTTGGTGGCCATGGACTGTGCGGTGCAAGCCTCGCGACTGGGCCGCCAGGAGCTGGCCTGTGTGGCAGGGACGAACCTGCAGCTGCGCACAGACATGTGGGTCGGCTTCTGCAAGATGACTGGCCTGGCTGGTGACGGACGCTGCAAGACCTTTGATTCTTCTGCAGATGGCTTTGGCCGTTCAGAGGGCTCCGGCTCCGTGATCCTGCGTTTGGCCTCTGCGGCGCAAGCCAAGGGCGAGTCGGCCGTCGCCCTGACGAAGGGCAGCTGCGTGAACCAGGACGGGCGCAGCGCCACCATCACGGCACCCAGTGGCCCGGCCCAGCAGCGCGCCTTGAGCAACTCGCTCCGGGATTCGGAGCTCAAGGCTTTGGAGGTTTCGCTCGTCGAATGCCACGGAACCGGAACTGCGCTCGGAGATCCGATTGAGGTGGGAGCGCAGGAGAAGATCTACGGCAAGGATCGTGCAGATCAGGACCAGCTCATTCTTGCGGCTGTGAAGTCGGTTATTGCTCACTTGGAGGGAGCAGCCGGTGTGGCAGGCCTTACCAAGCTGGTAAAGATGATGGAGCACAAGCAGGTGCCGCCAAACCTGCACCTGAAGAAGTTGAATCCAAACATCGACCTTTCCAACTTTGCCTGCACCATCCCCGACTGTGTCATTGACTGGAATCCCCCCGCCGGTGCCGTTCGCGTGGCCGGCGTCAGCTCCTTCGGCTTCTCAGGCACCAACTCACACGTCAATCTCCAGGAGGCGCCCCAGGCGCGGACCTTTTTGCGGGTTGCTGCGACAATAAGGTGCGGCGGGAAGGGGGATAACTCTGCAGCTGCCCGAGGCACCGCATTTCAGCTAGGCAGAACTGCCGCTTCAGAGAGCTAAGTCTAAGTCTAAGTGCTTCAGAATGGCTTTTTGGGGGGCGAACGTGGGAACATCCTTGAAGCTGTTGAGTCCAAGTCAGGCTGAGCTCGATGCTGTGCTGCAAGCCGCCGCCGAGAGGTCCCCACTGGTCTGGTCTCGGAGCGACTTGTCTTACAAGGACTGGGCCAAGCAGCTTTGGTCCACCATTGCGTGGCAGCCGCTGCCGGCCAGCCAGGCTACTGTGGATTCCGCCGAAGACTGGCTGGTGCTGGGCGGAGGCGATCTCGTGTCGACAGCCACGAAGGCGGCCCTGCCCAAGGCCACGCATGCGGACATGAGGCGGCTCGCAAGTGCAAAGGAGGCGGAGAAGCTGCTTTCTGAAAGGACCTGGCAGGTGCTCATCTTTGCAGAGCCCTTGGTTGCAGAAGACCCCAGGCTGGACGGCCCGACCTTGTCAGCTCTGCTGCGCTTGGTGCAGGCTCTTTCCCAAGAGAAGCGCTCCCTGAAGCTGGTGCTCATGTCTCTCGGCGCGCAGTCGGCCTCCTCCGGAGCTTCCGGAATCGGCCGTGGCTTGCTGGGTGCGTCGTGTTGGGGCTTCATGCGCTCCGTTCGCCTGGAAGTTCCCAGCCTGCAGCTGCGGACCGTGGACTTCACCACGGATGCAGATCTCTCCGACTTGCTGCCGACAGAGCTCGCGGCGGCCGGCGACTGGCCATCGGATGAGGAGAAAGCCGCCGAGGTGGCGGAGATCGCCTACATCCAAGGTGAGCGATGCACTCCAAGGCTTAAGCTAACACCTGTTACACCTGGCACGCACAAGTTGGAGCCAAATGGGAGCCACATGATCAGTGGCGGTTTCGGGGGCCTTGGCCTCTCAATAGCACAGGAGCTCGTTGACATGGGGGCTCAAAGCTTGATTCTGGTGTCACGCAGCGGCCGAGTCTCCGACGATGAGAAGTTGCAGCAGATGTTCAAAGAGCTCCAGGCATCTCCTGCGACAGTCCATGCATGGTCCTGCGACGTCGCCGATGCGGCGAAGACGCGCGAGATGTTGAAGAAGACGAAGTCCATGGAGGTTCCTTTGCAAAGTGTGGTGCACGCTGCCGGCATCATCGACTTCTGTGAGCTCGGCAATCTGACTACAGAGAGCATGGATGCGGTCTTCAAGCCAAAGGTCTCGGGGGCCTGGAACCTGCACAGCGAGATCAGCTCGGGAGAAGTGGACCTGACAGCCTTCGTGCTGTTCTCCTCCGTCTCCTCCTTGGTAGGACTGTGCGAAGCTTAGCCGGCTGCTGCCCTGAAGCATCCGAGAGTCCATGAGAGTTAGAGCGCTGGATTGGATCAGGTCCTCCGGCATCACGTACTCGACGTCCAATGCCTATCTCGATGGTCTCAGCTTGTGGCGGCGCGCTGCCGGCTTGGCAGCGACCAGCTTGCAGAAGCTCGGCGCGGCAAGAAGCCATGTAGGCTGGAGGATTTTGGTCATGGACTGTAGGAGTGCGGAAATCTGAGGTGGGGTCCAGTTGCCGATGTGGGCATGGCGGCCAAGGGCGAGGCCCATGGAGCATCGGAGCCTTGGCAGACACTCGAGGAACGCTCGTCTGCGGAAGCCGATGTCTAAGCCCGACCTGTGCTCCAAGGACTCGGCCCTGAAGCTGATCTCCCCCAAGCACGTCCGCAATGCCTTCCACCGCGTGCTCGCGAAGCCTCGCCTGGCGCTGCCGCCTGCGCTGCTCTTCGCGAGCCGCCTGCCTGCGTTTGGCATGGGCCCCCTGTCCCCCCAAGACCAAGCCAAAAAGGCGCTTCAAGCGCCTCGAGGCGCCCGCGAAACGGTCTTCAGCATCGAATTAGAATCTTTGAACCTCAGGAGCTCAAAATCCAGCCTGGAGCTCCGTAAATGGAGGAATCAAGGGACGTAAAAGAGCGGGCTCGAAACTGTAGGTTACTTGCACGTTGTAAGTTAGAAGATTTCAGTGCCACTTGGCACCTCATCCTCCTCAGCTGAGTGTCTAAGTCCCCTGATCCAGCAAGCCCTCAACCCACAAGTCCTCAACCCTCAATCCCCAATGACAACCTTGCTAGGACGTCGTGCAACTTACGATGATGATGATGATGACGACGATGATGATGATTGTCACTCATGTCACGAAAGCTAGCTCTGCGGAGCCTGCGGGAGTTGTCGTTTACCATTCACTTAGGTAGTAGAGAACTAGGTCAAATTGCGTGCAGGACCTTAATCTGGTCCGTTCACAACAGTTAAAGGGCGGGGAAGGGCGGGGCCACTCTCGCGCCACCACGTATATGATTGATTTAGAGCCAATAAGGAGGCCACCCCCCGACCGCAAGGTCCCCCGACACCTCAAGGTCCATCATGGTCCATCTGTTGAAGCATTTGAAGCAACATGGCAACTTGAGTTTTGCTTATGTGGCCGAGTGCCTCTATGTAGCAAGTTTCACGTCTGACCCCTTAGTAATCAGCTAAGCTGCCACCAGGACAGATCGAAGCTGCTCGTAGATGGCCTTGTTATTGCTTACGCAGGGACACTCCGACGCCCAATGAGGTGGGTCAAGGCGCCACGACACGACGAGGGTGTATCTTTATGTGGGCCAGTGTACAACGGAATATGCTATCATCTTACATACATGCTTGCATCCACTGTCCGAGCTCTGTCGACTCGGATTCCTTTCTTTTGGCCCTAGCTCTCGTGGCTTCTTCTTAAGTTCTCCCGGCGGATGCGCTGGATCCACGGGTCGGCGTTCCCACACCGAAGGAGTCGGATTCTAGCTCCTGACCGAGCGGACATAACGCGGCTCTTGCGGCCGTGGCGTGCAGAGAGAGAGAGAGAGGCGCCTCCAAAACGGTCGGGGGCGCGACAGCGCGGGCACAGGAGGCAACACCTGTGTCCACAACCCTGGCGAAAGAAAGAGAGCGCGAAAGCATGCTGTTCGAACCAATAGACGTCAGTCTCATGTCGTCGATGCCGGGGGAAATCCCCGGCCTGCTGCCTGCTATGGGTTTCCTAGATTGTTTTGCTGTCCCTCTGTGTTGCACAGTCTACAGCAGGCTCAGGTGCCTTCGTCGTGCGAGCTTTTCTCTCAACGCCCTTCCCCAACAGTCGGGGGCGCGGACGCGCAGGGGCAGGGGGAACTTCCTTCTGCCCGTAACCCTGACGAAATAAAGAGAGCGAGAGAGAGAGAGAGAGAGATGATTATCACCTGTAGTCATTATGATCAGTACCATATCAGCTGTCACTGTTACTTTCATCAGTGTTATAATTGCCGGTATCATTGTCATTCCTATTCTTATTTTCTATTTACTATCATGATCGTCATTCTTAAGGTTGTTACTATTTATCAATCAATCTATCATCATCTTGGTTTCTAATCTTACTGTTACTAAACCCTAAACCCTAAACCCTGACTCTCTGTCTCATAAATTGAGCTCAGGAGCCGATTGGTCTCGCTTCATGCAGCAGGTCGGAACCATCGTGCCGGTCTTGGCCGACTCCAAGGCGGGAGCTACAGGTTCAGGGTCGTCAGGGTGAGGGCTATAAACTATAAACCCTAAACCCTAAATCCTAAACCCTAAACGCTTAGGGTGAGGGCTATAGTTTTTCGGGTTTGAGGGTGCTTTTGGGTTAGAGTTCAGAGTTAAGGTTAGGGGTTTTGAGGCTTCAGTCCTTTGGACTTGGAGTTAGGGTAGCTTGTGGTGCTCTTGCGTTAGGGCTCAGGTTTACGGTGCTCTTCGGTTAGAGTTCGGGGTTAAGGGTTTGAAGGCTGGGGCTGAAAGGCTATCGGGCTTTAGGGCTTTTGGGCTAGGGCTTCGGGTTTCGGCTGCTTTCGGTGTAGGGTTTTGGATTGGGGTCTTGGGGGTTAGGATTCAGTGTGCTTTTGGATCAGAGTTCAGGGTTATGGCCTTTAAGGCTTTAGGGCTTAGGGTGCTTTTGGTAGGGCCTTAGGGTTGAGAGTTTCCTGGGCTTTGGGGTTTGGCATGCTTTCGGGTAGGGGCTGAAGGGTAAGGGTGCTGCGGCTTGAGGGCTTCTGGGGTTCGGGTTTAGGGTTTATGGTGCTTTTGGGTTCGGGTTTAGGGTTACAGGGTGTTTGGGGTTGCGGGTGTTTTTGGGTTAGGATGTCGGGGCTATGTTGAGGGTTAATGGATTTAGGCTTTAGGGCTTTTGGGGTAAGAGTCTGCGGTGCTTTTGGGTAAGGGTTTAGTGTTTAGTAGGGTTAAGGGCTTCAGGGCTTTGGGGCTGGGGTTAGGGTTCAGAGTTAAGTTTTGGGTTAGGGATTAGAGGTCGCGGATGGTTAGGGTTGGGGTTCGGGCTTGCTAGCAGTTTCTTGTGAAGATGCTATAAGGTTTGGCTTCCGGGTGTAAGCAGAATTCTTCAAACGTTTCGGGTTTAGCGGTTAAGGGCCTTACGGCTTTTGGGGTTTGCATGTTCATCTTGTTAGGGCACTTAGCCGTTTAGAGTTTGAGGGGTTACGGCTTTTGCAGCAGTTTGGAGGGCCAGGGGGGGGGTTAGGTCTCATGGATTTAGGGCTATTGGCTTATCAGTGTTATGCTATCGTAGAATGGTGATGGCCAACTCATAACAGCACAACCATAGAAAATGGTCGTGATAAGAGTCGCAATAACAGTAATGATGGCAGTATCTAATCTTTTGGCCGAGCCAGCGAAACAGCAGTGCTAGCAAGAACGGAGAATGAAATATTCATGGACATAAGTCAACTGTAATTGCAGCTGGCAATCATTATCACTCTGGTCTCGCTACTCCGGTGAACGCAAAAAGCCCTCCCTGGAACCACCTTGATCAGAACCCCCTCCACAACTGAAATCCTAGAGAAGCGACATACCCTTTTCACAAACGAACATAGGCAACGAAATCATGGGGAACTGAATAATTAGACTGAGGCTTTGGGGTGCAGTGCAGCTTTTCGGGTGCATGATAGAAAGTATAGCAGAACTAAATCTAGACTTTTTCAGGGGATACGAGTTCCCCCTAAACCCCTAAACCCTATGCCCAGGCTAGCAGCTCCGGGGCTGCTCCTAGTGCTCTCTTGGCGGCCCTTGAGGGCTTGTCCCCGGAGGCAGTGCAGAGCCTCTTGGCGGCTGTTAAGGGTTTAGGGTTTAGGGTTTAGGGTTTAGGGGTTTAGGGGTTTAGGGGTTTAGGGTTCAGCAAAAAAGTAGGGGGGTGTAGGGGTCTAGGACCATAGAAGGCGCTTTGAACCGACGAGCTC